AAGACATTCCCAGCTCCAGCAACAGTCGAGCCGGGTTTGACCTCACCAAGATGGCTGCACATACGCGCGTGTGTGTGCGCCAAGACAGTGCAGCCGAGTTAATTGTTATTCTGTCATCTACCGCGAGAGGGAGCCCTCGCAGCGGAGCGCACTGGGAACCATTGCGTGGTCCGGTCTGAAATAAAATCAGATGCCATCCACGTCCAATGATGATTGTGATCAATCACTAGTTTCGACCATTTTCTCTTTATTTTCATCCTTATCCATCCTCTTCTATGCCCAGTAATAATCAATACAGACAGACACACACGAGCGCGCGCGTATGTGTGTATTGTGTTGTAGTTTTCCACGGTGGCTGAACAAACCATCAGACCACGTCTCGACTTGGAAGTTTCTTTATTGAAAGTGGTGCTGAAGTGGCAGGCTGACCTTTCATTTCTTTCGCTCCGCTTAGTAATAAAGGAAGACATTCACTTGACTGGAAGCAGTGCGTTTCTTGAAATTCTATTCAGTTGAGCGCCTTTCTCGAAAAAGCGCTTGCGCTGTGCCGCGACGAGCGGAGCATCTGCGGCCAAAGCCACGCGTGGCTATTTACATGACGTCGTTCCTCATCGTCGCCACGGGCTCCTTCCTTCCACGAGCATCTCAACCCGGAAGGAAATCGGCACGGACCTTTGATCAGGACGCGTCCATGTGGGCCAGCTGTAGCCGCGGGTGTTCTAACGGTTCGGTGGTACTGTTATAGACGAGCGTGTCCTGCTCCGACGCCGGCCGGTGGGCGGCGCCCGCATCCGCGCGGCCACCCGAGCGTTCCTTGCGCTTCTTCAGGAAGCAGTAGGCCAGGACGGCCAGCAAGGTCAACACGGCCACCGACAGGATCACCGCCAGCGCCACGGAACCTGCCGACGCAGCGCAGCCGGGTCAGCGCGCGCGCTCGCGTCCCGCGGTCCCCGTTAGCTTCCCGCTCACCTGAATTGCTTCCTTCCTCTTCCTTGTCCTCGAAGCGTTCAAATGTTCCTCTGGCGAACACGTCGCGCTCTGCAATGGGAGTTGACATCATCAGCATCGTGCCTGCCTGCCGGGCTACCCGACTGCCTGCCTGCGCGTGTGCACGGGCGGGGGGGCTGGCGTACCTGTTACACCGTGACAGGAGGCGTCGCACTGGGTCTCCTGGGCAAAGTTGTTGTCGTTTCCGTGGCAACCGCCGTAGGTGAAGCGCTGGCAGCGTGTGTTGAGCGGGTTGTAGTACCAGCGCGTGAGGCTGGCGCGGCACGGACCCGTTTGGGGCGGCTCCGTGCAGCGCGCTGGTGGCGGGCCCGTGGCTTATTAGCGGCACACTAACACACACACACAAACGGTCACACAAGGGGGCGGTCTCACCTTTTCTTTGGTTGACGTCGATCTCCAGAAGCCGCGTGAACGTCTCATTGACTGAAGAAGAAAAAGAGGAACTCGAGCAACCGGATCACTGGCTACTTGCATGTATGTGCGTGCGCGCATTACGTTGGCCGCAGTGCTTCTCGTCGGCGGCGTCACCGCATTGCGTGACCCCGTCACACTCCAAAGTGGCGTCCAGGCAGCAGAGGTCGCCGCAACTCAGTTGGCCGGGAACACACGCGGAGCCGCACACCTCTGAACACACGCGCACACTCAACGGGGCGTCCGGGTGACGCGAAGAGGAGCATTGTGTGACTGACCGCCAGCGGGCAGAGCGATGCGCTGCAGTTCTGAAGACGTCACTGCCGAGGAGCAAGCACAACACCTTAGCGCGTGCACGCGTGAGCGCGCGCGAGCGTGCGCGGCTCTTACCTGCGACTCCGCCGCAGGCCTTGACGCAGTCGTCGCGGGACAGGAAATTGTTCAGGTTCCCTTTGCATCCTCCGAAGACGAAGGCTTGACATCGCTGCTCGACGGCGTCGTAGCGCCAGCGAGGAAAAGCGGCGCGGCACGGTCCCACCTTGGCCTCCGCCAAGCAGTAACCTCCAACACAAGGCGCAGCACAAAGTTTGGTCTCGCTCTCGCACACGCACCCCGAAACGGGAGTGACGGGGCGGCGGCTGCTGCGAATGGTTAGTTGAAATCAAAGGTGACCCCCGCCGCCCCCCCCAAACCGAATGGTGCGGCTCACTCCCGACGGCTACTCACGGGCGGACATCTCGGCGCTGAGGACGAGCACTTGCACACTGGCGGCGTGCGAGCGCTCATTGGAGTCGGTGACGGTGAGGCGGAAGCGGTAGCGTCCCGCCGCCAGGTTGGACACTCGCACCTGCTCGGCCAGCTCCGTCTCCTGCAACGAGACGCCGCGCCGATGACATCGTCTGCGCCTGCGCGCGCTCCCAAAAGGTGAAAGCCACGCCTTTAGGCGTGGCCTTCCGTTGTGCTCAATGACTCTTGATGGGTCACAACACACTCGCCGAGATTTCAGCCAATGGATGAGCCAAATGGGCCTTTTGCATACGTCGAAAAAGTCTTGGGTTGGAGCTCCTGAAAAGCGGCACCAAAGCCCGCCCGTCTTTGGTGCCGGTTTGCGGCCTCACCTCCAGGACGACGACGGCCTCGCCGCTCTGCAGGGTCCAGTCGTAGCGGACGACGTGGGCGTCGCCGAGCGCCAAACTCTGGATGCCGTCCAGCGTGACGGTGGCGCCGGGCTGCACCACCACATCCTGCCCTGCGATGGCGATGGGCGGCGCCGGCTCATCTGCGGAAGCACGACTTCATTGGCTGCGGTCGGGGCCGGGGCTGCCCCTCACGCCCCAACCCCTCCCCAAAATTAAATAATCATCAATCGGCCTCTGTACGTTGACCCCGACGAGATGTCTGCACCCCCGCGGATGCTCGCAACCTGCTCTGTCACCGAGAAGTTAGTGCTTGTCATCCCATCCGCAGTCTGGGCTTCATGAAATAAAACGTTTGCTTGCTCTGGTGTGGAAAAACATGCAAAGATTGACATTGATTGCAAAAAAAAGCTTCCATTCTTCTCCAATTTGTTGTCACGCGTGATCTATATTGTCCATGGGAAAATGGGCTGCCGGCTGCTCTCTTCTGGTTTAAACAACGGACTGCAAGTGTTGCCTCAGAGGCAATAAATCCATTTTTACATTGCATTAAATCGCCCCATGTTTGCTATTGTTCTCTCTCTCTGTCTCTCCTTCTTTTGCACCACCCCAAAAACGCGATTGTGGACCAGAAATTGCAATGTGACGTGTGTGTGGTTCCAGCCCGAAAGTTGGCAACACTGCCAAATGGTAGTCGGTGTGAACAGCCACCGGAAAGAGATTTTTTTTTGGGGGGGCCTGAAGCCGAGGCCCGTGAAATGGGGCCAGGTGTGTGGCGACACCCCGACACGTTCATCGAGGACAATCGCGCAAGCGCATTCTCGTCGTCGACGCGTTACTTCCGCCCTTTTGTTCATCCCCCACCCGCGTCGGGCGTGAGAAAAGCGCGGCCTCGCGCAACCCCACCTGCGTCCTGCGGGCCTTGCAGGTACTTCCGGTACTCCGAGTCCCTGATGACGCTTCGGTATCCGGGCCGGCGGACGAAGCGGCACGCGAACTTGTTTCTGGGCGCGCAGTCGAAGAGCGCGCAGGTCAAGTTGGCGTCGGCCTGCGCGACGTTGCACCGCCGCAGCTCGCAGCAGGCGGCCCGACACTCGGCCATGGAGGCCGCGCGCACGACGGCCACGAGAACCGCGCCCTCCTTGACGGCGTCCTCCAAGTCCACCACGAAGTTTTCCTGGCCGGGGCGGAAACTTCCCGCGCAGGCCGAGTCCTCCGCGCGGGCGCCGCCGAGAGGGCGCGCCGCGAGCACAAACAACAGCAAGAAGCAGCGGAAGGGAGGCCGGGCCCACATGTTGCGCTTGTCGCGTCTGACTCCAGTCCCAGGCCGGCCGAGGCGCGGCGCCGCTCTTCTCGCTTTCTTCTGGCACCTGCAGCGTGAAGGGAAGGGTGGGAAAAAAAAAAAAAACAGACGCCGGCCCCGCCCGTTTCGCCGACGTCACGCAGGTGACTCACCCGCACCCGCGACTTGTTTTTCCTCCGTCCCTTCACGTTGGCGGTTGCCGGCTTCCATCGGCCAATGTCGACATGAGTCTGGAAAAAAACATTTGGACAGACAAAGACTGGTCGCCAGTCGCCGGAGGACAATTCGGTATCTTCAACGAAGCGCGCTCACGGAACGCAAACCCGACGCTCCGATGACGACGGCGCCTTCGCCGACGAGTCGAGTCGCTTTCCAGGCGGTGAAAAACGCCGCCGCGGTCTCTCCGCGCGGCACCGTATCGACTTTCTTGTGCGCACGCGCGCCTTGGCCGCGAGGGGGCAGCAGACGACACTCATGCGAGACGCCCAATTAATTCTCCTCCGCCGACTTGCTCAGCTGCAAGTCATTTTTGGTCAAAGACTGCAACGCCTGGGTGCTTGGTTCGATTGTCGGTCCGGACGTGTTCCTGCACCATTTCTTTGTCGATGGGTTCGAAACGTTGCGACGACGACGTCAGCACGCCCGTGGCGTTTGTTGGGACTTCAGCCGAGTCAAGTGCCGCCGTCTGCCCCTCCCAGCTCGAATTAGATGAGTCAACCAAGTTCTTTTTTTTTCCCCCATAAAGCTTGAAGGTTTTTTGTTTTCACTGATTCCAAATCTGTCTTTGCTTTTCATCATTATCATCTCAATAGTAAAGAGGTAGTCACATTTCCAAATGGAGGGTTAGCTCGAGCAACATCACAGCTGTCAAATCCAAATTGCACAATCTAAAATGGGTCAACTTTAAAAAGAAAAAATGAAAATCTCTGAAACCCCCCCATTTTTTTTTTTAAATCGGGGTCAACAATGCGTCGAGGGACAAATAAAGCCATCTCCAAGTCAAATTAGCCGTGGGCCAGCGTTAGCGCACGCAAGGCAAAGCAAAAACGGCCTCGCAGTCAAAGACCGGTTTGTATGTCGAATCGTCTGCGTCACCAGCAAAGCCTCTTGAGCGTTTTTCCCTTCAGGACACAAAGCAAGCGTGAGAGCACGTTCCAAGTTTTATTGAGCAAGTTGACGTTTGTTCAGTGTGTGGAGAACTTGGGCAGCTGGTTTCCCAGGATGACGCGTCTGTCCACGCCTTCCTCGGAGATGGTGGCCAGACGGATGACGCCGCCGCTCGAGCCGTCTCGCTCCATGGCCAGCGCCAAGGCTGACGGCGGGAAAAAGCCCGTTAGCGTGCCGCCACTCTTGCCGAGTTTGCCATTTTTCGTTGTATTTTTTTTTTTTACCTGCAGTGGTCAGCTCCAAACATTGCTCTTTGTTCAGTCCCACCTTGTAGTTGGAGTCCATGAAGCCATAAATGTACGAGCTCCCGCTGCCGCCCACCGACACGGGCTGCCTCACCAGCATCCCGCCGATGGGGACGCAGTACACCTGACGTGCCCACAAACACACGCACGGATGTCAGGGGTGGGGGGGGAGGCCAAGGCTGCAACTGACCTTACTTTGAATCATCAATTTATCCCTCAATTATTTTATCGATTAATCTAGTGGTTCTCAAACTTTTGACAAGCATGTCGCATCTCAGGGGGGGAGCTTTCCAAATAACACAACAAAGACCAACATTAAAATACACAAACACGGTCGGCCGCCATGGTCACTTCAAATAAGGCAGAGGTTAACTTCCGAAAAGGTACCGCCGGGTCGCCTGCAACCTTACCTGTCCGCCCTTCCTGCGGTCCCAGCCGGCCACCAGGATGCCGGCGGTCAGCTCCTCTCTGTAGCGGTAGCAGCTGGCCTTGAACAGATTGGCGGCCGTCTCCACCAACGGCGGCTCGTCCAGCTCGATGCTGGGGGCGGAACCAGGCGGGAGGGACACACACACACACACACAAAAAACCTTTTCAAGCAAATTCACTTCAAAAAAACCGGCCAATCATCAGCGACATCCAACCTGTCGCACGGCTCTCCTAAGGGACGATAGGATACGGATCTCGATACGCGGTGCCATTCAAGGGCGACGTTGCATTTTAAAATGTGACAGACAAGATGGCCGCGCCCGTGTCTGTTTGGCTCGCAATCGTTTGGCCAAACGTGGCGTCAAAATCGGGCGGCTCGGCTCTTCGGCTTGGCGACCTCGCTAAACCGATCGCCCGTTTGCTCTCCGGTCGGTCAACGCGCAAGCGCTCGGCCGCCATCCTTGCGCTAAACACTGAACCAAGCAACGGCCATTCCCACCTGTGGAAACCCAGCTGATAGGTGACCACGTCAGCGATGGCCTGCGTGTCGGCGGCTGAGCCGGATCTGCGACGGAAGAAGGAACATGAGAGGAAAGTGAAGGCCAGAAGGAGGGGCGGAGCCTTGCCGCGGAACGGAAAGCGCCCGTCGACTGACCTGCAGCAGAAGATGCGATCGTGGATGGGCGTCAGTTTGTCCGTCACTCTGTTGGCGATGTACGCCCTGATAGACAACACGCATGACACGGTTGGAGGTTTTGGATGCGAGCCAGAGCACACTGAAAATACACAACAAGATGAAGAAGATAGTCACCCGGTGGTGGTACGGGAGTCGGCGCCGATGACCACCCCGCCGTCATACTCCACCGCCATGATGGTGGTCTGCCACACAAGTCAGGGGACAGGAAGAGAAGAACACAAACTTTTTAGCGACAAAACTGTAAGAGTACGAAGCACAAAAGAGACAGGGGTACAACTGCATTTTCACTCTGAAGTCCCTACTTGAGTTTGGATGGTGTGACAAGTCATTTGTTTCGGAGAAGGGAGTTGTTTTCGAAAACGTACGGACCGAACAGATCCGGGGAGATCTGTAAGTTCCAATGTGTAAATGAAAACAGATTGAAAATTTTGTTCGGAAGTTTCGGATTGTCACGATTTGCACCAAGACAATCGCCAACGACAAACAGCCCTGCCCCAACCTATCCTAAGAGTTGAAAAGGTTGATCGAAAGGAGTTTTGCTCTTCGCTCCATCGGGCTCTGAGCACAACATTTGCTGTCTCATCCAACCGCTGCGCACTATGAAACCTCCTCCACGAGCACGCAATCGCGTTTTTGAATTCAGTGGGCAGCTATGACAGATACTGACCCCGGTGCTGACTTCTTTGCCGGTCCAGTCTGGTACTTCTTGATTTTGTGAGAAAACATTTGGATCGAAACGGCGCTTCATGGTCGCTGTTGCCGCCATCTTACTTCCTCCGCTTCTTCTTCTTCTTCTTCTTCTTCTTCTTCACATCATAGTCGCTGTTGCCGCCATCTTAGTTCCTCCGCTTCTTCTTCTTCTTCTTCTTCCGCAAAACGAACCAACCACAATCCACCAGCATCATCATGTTGTCTTCTAGCCAATCGTGTTGAGTGACGTCATCAACAAGGGACGTCGTCGAGCGATTACCGTAGTGACAAATGAGGACATGAAATTTACAGGGAACTTGGATCCAAATATGAATCGATCTCAGGTTACGCCTAACCAGGCTTAACCTGAGTTGCGAACAAAGGCGGAAGGACTGTCGCGTCTTGCGTCTCAGGTTACGCCTAACCAGGTTTAACCTGAGTTTAATTAACTCTTGCTTTAAAACATGTTGCGAACAAAGGCGGAAGGACTGTCGCGTCTTGCGGATGCAGCAATCTGTTTGTGAATCAGAAAATGTGTCATATCAGTAAAATGCTTTTTGACTTCTTCTGGAGAAACAAGACTCCACGGTGTGAAAAGGTCTCTTGGAATGGCTACTGATGAAACGAGTGGATTGAACTTGCTCCATGTTTCTACCCTCAATAAAACATTTGAATTCAATTGGATCAAACAACTTTGGGGTGATCTCTCATCTATTTGGAACTTGAACAAGAAAACGACTTGCGTGGGCAAAGTTGGCATTGGATGCCGGGGGGAGTCGCGTCCCAACCACGAAGTGAAGATTTGTGTTCACATTTTGAATGTCGTAAAATGTCCTTCCCGATCATTAACAGTCCTTTCAGGACATTTGCAGCCCTGAAGTTTGCAAGGGACTTCCCCAGCCCTCGCCTTTTCGTAGGTTCGGAACCGTGCGTTTCTCCCCAATCCAAGGAAGAAAGAGACGTGTAACCGGGACACCCACCGCGCTACACCCGGCGACTGTCGTTTAATCCCGTACCCCCGCCCAGAATCCGGGGCCGCTGTGTTTCCGGGACATTTGCCGTTTCTTCCCGTTGAGCACATTGTCGCCGATGACGCGCAAATGACAACATCAGGTGAAAGGCGGCGCGTTTCGTTTCGGGAGTTCCAGTTCAGGGTTTGGTTCGGCCACGCGTCGACCATTTCCGGGTGCCGGCGAACGCAGCCTCCCCCGACCTGCTCGGTCATCGATTGTTCGTCTCGGGAGCGGACGCCGCACCGGCGCCGAGCTCCTCCGAATCTTCCGAAGGCGACGCGAATGGCCAGCCACGACGACTCGTGTCCCTTTTGCCAGATAGCCAAGGGCCAAAGTGACACCGAAATCCTCCAGAGCGTAAGACGACGTTCTCCGTTCGAGGCTTGGCCTGCGTTCGCTCGACTCGGTTTTGTGTCTTGAAGGACGAGGAGCTGGTGTGCTTCCGGGACGTCAAGCCGGCTGCTGAGCATCATTACCTGGTCATCCCCAGGACGTACATTGGCAACTGCGACGATCTGCGTGCGCAACACATTCCCATGGGTCGGTGGGCGTAAAGCCGCCTTGGGTTTTCCACGAAAACAATTTGGGAGTGGCCACCGAGGATTCGAGTTAGCGGGGCTACTTTCATTAACTCCGTTCCGATCGTTCCTTGACGAACTCATTTGTTTCCGATTTCACCGTGTGAAAATTAGTTGAAAAGCCATCATTCATCATTACCAGGCCCCCCCTCGCCCCTTCAAAAAACAGGACATAACAGTGCACTTTATTTTTCGTGTACTTTATTTTTGGCTTTAGTTTTTTTTTTTATCTGCTATTCAGAGTCATTTTGTGTGTTATTCGATAATCGTTTTGTTAGGAATTCATTCGCCCCCAAAATGACACTAATACTCACCATAGCAGAAAAAAAAAATCCTTAAAACAATTTCAATTTTCTAAAAACGAAAAAAATATTCAGAACAAAAACTTATTCGGGAAAATGTCTGAAAAAAATCATTTCTAAAAACAAAAGAAAAACATTTTAGGGGGAGGGAAACAATTTTGAAAAAAAATTCTGAAAAACAGAAGAAATACGCGGGGGGGGGACGAGGGATGCTTTGTGACTGCAATGTGATGTGGTTTGTTACTAGTGGAGCGAATGGCCGAGATGGGAAGGGGCGTGTTGGTGAAAAATAAAGTGCGTGACCCGAAGGACATCAGGTAAAGCGCATTCGTTAAGTCGCAATCTCGCGACGGAGTGGAAATGATGTTGTAAAATGCGGGCGGCCCACTTCAGGCTGGGCTTCCACGTGCCTCCGTTTTGCTCCGTGCCGCACCTGCACCTGCACGCCCTGGCGCCGGCCAGCAAGATGAGCGAACTAACGCAGCGGAAATACGGCTCGGTGTCCCACTGGTTCATCACGGTGAGCGAGCGAGCGCCGCAGTTCGGGGACCGAGCGAACGGGGAGGGGGGGGCGCTCTCTCGCCACTACACACGGCGCCTCTCTCGTCTTTGCAGGTCGACGACGCGCTGACTCGGCTCAGGACGCGAGGCAGAATCCGCTGACGTTCTGTCCCCTCTGGTGTCATTGAAATGGAAATGCACACGTCGCGCTGAGCTCCATTCGGGGGACGATTTCTGGAAAAGACAAGTTCGCAAAGTCATTTGAACGGCACGACTGTTATATAAATGTGTGCTCAATGGATGTTGGGTTTTTTTTTTTTAGATGTTATATAGCAGGTGGCAGCCCACAGCTGCACTTTTGGGGAATCCATCGGCTGTAAATGTAAGCTTATATTATTAATGATCATTTTATGTTCGAGCATCATATTATTTCATGTTAAGAATACCTAAATTCTGTTGTTGAATAATTGCTTAGACATGTTTTTATGTTGAGCGGTTCTGATTGGCTGTTGAAGTAAGAGAAGCAGGAAGTGACTTTAGTGACGAGAGTTGTGTTCTCGAACGTACTGCGGTGCAGACGTCCCCCCCCTTTTAATAAAACTGCATTTAAAGGACTCCATCTCTCCTTTTGCCGTTCGTAAAGTCGAGCTATCCACTCAAAACAACGAAGCCCCCAACTTACATAAACGACAGCCACCCTGCTGTTGCCTTCGCGGCATCTCGGGACCGTAGGAAATGACACAACTCGCCCGCCCCAATCACGGTCGCTACAGTATGCGAGTTCCGAACGCATTAAGCGGCGTTACAAAGAAAACGGGCGCCGCCGCGTTAGTCACGAGCCCTCGGCGTGACGTCATCAGCACGCAAAAGCGTAAGGGTGCTCTGATGTCCCTGATGACAAACGCATCTTGGGGCTTTGCAAAGAATGACAGCACGTCGGTCATTTGGGGTGCATGGAGCGGAGGAGGCGGACGCCGCATCTACAATACGCCAGCCGACAGGAGCATCTTCTCACTCAGATCAGCGGCGAGCCGACTCCCAAAATGCCCAGCAAACAGAAGCTGAGGAAACGCCGAAACGTACAGAAACACCGAACGCCCTACCAGAGGTCCGAGCGACCGCCGACACCCAAGCGCGATGAAAAGGAGGAGCGGGAAGTGGAACCCGGGCAGGTGGCGACGGTCCAGAAGATGGGCTGTCTCACGGCGTCCCTTCAGCAGGTCAAAAGTGACGCCGAACACCAGAAGGACGCGGAGCGTGCAGAAAACTCCGCGCTCCAGAAGGCCACGGCGGACCACGCGGAAGCGACCGCACCCCGGGAGACCCGAGCGCAAGATCTTGACACGGCCGCAACTTCCCTAGTGGACGAGACCATCCCGGCGCTCC